TACCTGTACTTTTGTACTTTCTCCGTAACTCTCCAGTTTGGGTGCCTGCGAGTTTCTTCCGCGGGGTGACTGGCTTGTTCCGGAACTTTGTGTGGGCCTCGCAGGTACCGAGACTCAGAATGTCCATTCTACAAGCACCTTGGAAGAGGGGGGGTCTGGCGCTGCCTGATATGAGGAAATATTATCTAGCAGAACAAATGGTGGTTGTAAACAGGTGGTTGACGAGAGAGGATAGTGACTCTGCGGTGGTTCTGGAGGCGGCGAGTTTGGGCCCCTATGAGGCCTTAGCATCCCTGGTGTATAGGGGATGTGAGGCCCCGTATGACCTCACGCTCTCCATGCGGGCCACATTAAAAGCATGGGGGCAGGTGTTGGATTCACTGGAGGGGGGGATGTTGTACCTTAACCTCTGTGAAAACCAAATAAAAAAAAACTGAATGGACCTTAAATAGTATGTTACTATGCTTTCTGAAGTCGATGCAGAACTGCAGGCTGTCATTCAGCATAGATATGAGCTATATGGGGCTTGACTGCTTACTGTTTGATTTTTCTATGTTTTACATTTTTTTGTGTCTTTACTGAAAGTGGCTTTCTCTGATCTTCAAGTTCCTGGTAAGGTATTAACTTTGACACAAAGCTCACAACGTCACAATGTCGTGTAAATTATGTTAGTTCTGCCAGGTAATTTTTAAAAACACCTCTTTTCTGCCAGAACTTTCTCCCATTCCTAATCTCAGTAGTATTTAAGATAGGGTCTCTAACATCCTAACCTGTAATATAACTTTTTGTTCTGGTACTTTAGGGTCACTTCCTGCTGAAGGAGCTTCATGATCTTTTCAAGGTTTCATTACGTTAACGTGATATATTTGAAGGAGCTTTCTCTTTTTGGACTGGTATACCTGTCTTTTTCCACAAAATTACTCACTTAAGTAGGCAAAATAACTTTGTCTCTGGGGTCAAAGGATCTGATTTATGTAGATTGGTTATAAACTATTGCCTGTACCTCTTGGGCTTGCTGCACATGTTTGTGAACAACGAGCATAACTGCCACTATCCTTTCCTGCATCTGAGCAATGTGTTCAGTTACACTTTTGTAGGGTTTACCCTCTTGCCCCCATGCTTCCTGGGTTATATCTAGGAGTCCCCAGGGACATCTACTGCACAGAAGATCAAACAAGGAAAACCCTTTGGAGGATTGTGATTCTTCTAGTAATGAAACATTAGGCATTATAACAGAAAATCACAGTCATTTCCATCTTTATCAACCACTTTGTAGCATATCTTTCAGGGTTCGGTTGAAAGGTTCTATCAGCCCATCATTTTGGGGTTGTATACTGAAGTTTGTAGGTTTGGGATTTTCAACAACTGACACAGCTTTTTGGTTATCTTTGACATGCAATGGTCCTCGGTCTGTCAAAATTTCCTTTGACACATCAGTCTTGAAAAACATGTGGAACAGTTCTTTGGCTATAACCTTAGAGGATCTGCTACTCAAATTTTACACAAAAAAAACATCTAAAGGCTAACCATAAAGGATGTGTTTCTGAGAGAGATTGATTCTGGATGCCAGGTGGCATAGTCAAGGAATATCAATATGTACTAGTGCCCCCAGGTGAACTTTGACAGTGGCACAACTGACCCATTGCAATCCTCTCAAAAAAGACCTCAGCGAACTTAAAAAATGTGGTTGGAGTGTATCATTTGACACAGTGCAAGATTTAAGATACTCATCAAATGCTTTGTAAATACCAGGTCAAAAGAAAAAACACACTGCTCAATCTGCTCTTTTATTTTTTAACCCCTAAAGACCAGATAATACATGAGAATGGGCTAGATCAAACACCATCCTTGTGTGAGACTGCCCCAGCTGCTCCACAACTTACTCTTGCTTCTTCTTTTAACAATACATTCATTTTTTTTATTAACCCTTGCAGTGGGACTACCCCCGCATTGCAAGGGTTAAGTACTCGTTTGTGTCCTAGGTGCTAAAATAACAAGGATATACACACCCAAAGCTCCGAGCCAGCCAGCTGTCACGGCGCTCCCTTCTGCCTCTCCCCTTCTGTGCAGCACATTGGAATGTTTCTCAAATTCCTCACGTCTATTCACATTGTTTGTACGTTAATTATTTACTGGACTTGATTTACTGGACCTTAGACTACTGCAGAGGAGGGGTAGACACATTCCAGGGACTGGTCTAAGAAGAAGTCAGCTTGGCACTTTGGGTGAGTATATCTTTTTTTTACCTAGACTCAAACAAGCAGTTAACTCTTGCAGTGCTGGGATAGCCCCACTACAAGGGTTTAATTAAAACATTATATATATATATATATACACATGAGGGATTTGGGTTGCAATTACTAATGTAAATACAATATAGCTCCTGGGTCTCCTGGTAATTTCAGAGCATGGGCATAGCAGATTTGTGTTACAATTACTGGACTTCATTCTGACTCATAATGCTTTTCTATTTGATGATCAATACTATTTACAGGTGCAGGGGACCGCAATGGGGACTAGGTGTGCCCCATCTTATGCGAACCTCTATCTGGGTGGATAGGAGAGTGATCTGTGGGCAAGGGAAGACTTGTCTATGTACCTGTGCCACGTGTTGTCATGGCACAGGTACATAGATGATATCCTCATGCTTTGGACTGGAGGAATGGAATTACTGATGGATTTTGTTGATATACTGAATTGTAATGATTTAAATTGAAAATTGTCCATGGCAGTAGATCCCTATACGCTCCCATTTCTAGATGTGTTAATTTGTAAAGATGATAGGGGAATATTATATACCATTTGTACAGAAAACATACTGCAGGCAATGCTATTCTAGAAACCAGCTGTGCCCATCCGAGAGCCTTAAAAAATAGTGTCCCCTATGGCCAGTATTTAAGGGTGAGACATAATTGCTCCATAGATGTTGATTTTAACAGGGAAGCAACAAGTTTAAGGGAAAGATTAAAAGCGAGAGGATATACAAATAAAATCCTAACAAAAGCTTATAAAAGAGCAAAAATGGGGTATAAGACTAGCAAGAATGGAAATAAAAATAAAAATGATGATCTCTTGGTTAGATTTATACTGACGTATAATAATCAACATAAAGAAATATCAAAAATGTTAACTAAACACTGGCGCTGTTTTTTTAAAGGATCCCAGAATATCCAAATTCCTCTATAGAGATCCATCTATAACCTATCGTCGTTGCCCGTCATTAAAAGATAAATTAGTTAGAAGCGAATATAATACTAAGAAAATAAAATGTTGCAAATGCCCGGGCACGTATCAATGTCAGAGATGTAAGTTCTGTAAATAAATTCAAGTGGGACTAGAAGTAGTCACCCAAAGGGGCCAAAAGATCAAGAGCCCCCATTTTGCAAATTGCGAAACGGAAGGGGTAGTATATTTATTATTATGCCAGTGTAACATGTTTTATGTGGGGAAAATGCAAAGAATGCTTAAAAGAAGGATCTCAGATCATTTGGCAGATATAACTGCCCGTGATCTCCAGTGGCTTGACACTTTGTTTACACACATAACAGTAAAATTGATCAACTTTATTTCTTTGTTCTTGACCGAGTGCACAGACAAAATCGTGGAGGTATCTGGGATAAATATTTGTTACAAAAAGAATGCAGATGGATACACCAAACGAGATCCCATGAAGAACCAGGAATTAATTATATGATTAACTTTAGCTGCTTTCTATAATGTGAATTCCATTTATCATGTTGTTCTTTCATCTTGAATTTAAAACTTCAGTCCCTTCTTGAGGTTTTTTTTCATTAAATTCATTTTATATGATATATTTTATGTCACATTTGTATATATGTGTAAAATCTTTATAGTATATTAAATATATAATTGATGTGATTATGTTCTCTGAAAGGGTGTTTAAAGTATATAGAGATTTCCCCTGGAGAATAAGGATGAAGTTTAAGATATATAGAGCGGAGACAATGTTTAAAATGTTAATATATCAGTTTCAAATGTATTACCTAGCAACAAGTGGAGAGCAAGCAGGAAATGCTACTGTTCCGTTTAGAGCGGCAATTGGAAAGCAAAGTGCTCAAACTAATTACATATGGAAGGATATAAGAATCATCTGTTTAGAGCGAAGAAAGATCATGCCTCTCTGATGAAGCCCCTCGAAGGGGAGAAATGCGTTAGTGTGTAGCGTGGCATGCTGCTTCCCCTCATAGCTTTAGACACTCAGCTAATGGATGGCGAATCATAAGATATACATCGGCTGAATCGGCAAGGGCTGCTGCAATGATCGTGTGAGGGGCTCAAACCCTCTTTCATTCAAGAGATAAGTATACACTAATCATTCCTTATCAGTAGGGCCCTAGGTGATAGAGACTCCCTCAGCCCGAGATTTGTGACTGAGACGGCACTGCGCTGGATGTGCATCTTGAGAATACAACATTATGGGGCCACCCTTTGAGTGCTAAAGTTGTTTATTGATAATATTTGTCTTGTCTTTGTATGTTTCCTTTTAAGTGGATATCTAAACGGATTTCACTTTTTTTTGTTTGAAGGATATACAATTGAACTGTTTAATTGCAACGTATTGTTGTGAACTATTCGCACTGATACTTAAAACATCAGAGGAACACTGCCAAAGCTGGAGTGCTATAAAGTAATCCATTATACGGCTGGACACAAAGCGAGATAACAGGCACACTAGCTGTTAATCATATGTCTCTGCATCTTCACCACCCTTGCTGGGTAACCGTATAACATGCTACAAGTTTTACTTTTCATATCATAGCCATTGAAGGGGTAGCCAGATTTTAGTATTTTATATGTTAGTTATATATGATGAATTTAGTTTTTTAATATGAGATTAAATAATGTTGTGATAGAAATCTAATTGTGTTTGATATAGTTTTTTATTTGAAATAATTTTGCTCTGTGGTGGGATCTCCTTATTTTGAGGGAACTAGGAAATTTCTAATAAAAAAATTCCTGGAGTTCTTCTTTAAGAGCAGTTACTCGTATATTGTCTTCTTATCAAGTAAACTTGATTGTGTATTTAATTTGGGTTTAAATAAGATAATTAAACATTTTGGGAAAAATATGCAGCTTAGAAGTCCAGCACTTGAGACCAATATGGCAAATACCTCCACAGCTACCATATATTTGCCTTTGGTGCTCAAATAGGCCGGGATCATGGCAATCCAGGCACTGCAGAACACCAGCATGCTGAAGGTGATGTACTTGGCTTCATTAAAACTGTCTGGTAATGTCCTCACCATGAAAGCCAGAAGAAAACTCACAGCTGCCAGAAACCCCATATAACCCAACACAGAGTAGAACCCGATAACTGACCCTTCATTACACTGAATGACAATCTTGTCCTGATAAGACTGAGTGTCAATTTCCTTAAAAGGGTGAGAAGTGGACAACCAAATAAGACATATTATCACCTGAACAGATGAACACAATGATACTATAGAGTTTGACAGTTTGCTTCCAATCCATTTCCTCCAGTTGCTGCCAGGTTTGGTGGCTTTGAAAGCAATGTAAACAATGATTGTTTTAGCGAGAAGAGAGGAGACGGCTATGGAGAAGATGACTCCAAATGTCATGACACGGAGTATACAGGTTATATCCAGTGGTTGACCAAGGAACAAGAACACACAGAGGAAGCTCAACAAGATGGAGACAAGGAGAACAAAACTCAGGTTTCTGTTATTGGCTTTGACAATGGGGGTGTTCAGATAGGAAATAAAAATCCCCATTATGAAGAGAGTCACAATACAGAGTAAAGTAGAAGCTGTGATGAATACTTGAGAAAGGACATCAGGGTAGGAAAGAAACTCTTCCAGTTTTGCAATACACCGATCCTTCTTCTCATTGGGCCATTCATCATCTCTGCACTTCATACAGATCTCACTGTCTGCCAAGAACAATAGACATAACACACATTCATTTTTATTGTATTGTTTATATATCTATATATTCCTACTGTATCTATTGGAAAATGCCTCCAAACTGCTTAATCTATCAGTTTGTAAGAAGACTTCTACAGGCACCACACTGTAACAGTGCTTATGGTACAGCTTACAATGGGTAGAATTCTAGATGGATTTTTAAAAATATGTACGCAGTCCATCTGACTTGTCTTAATCTCACATCTATAGTTTAAAACATCTCACTGTGCACAACGGAGATTGTGCAATATATTTCACCAACGTCTGAGTAGTTGCATTGAACAAACCAGAAACATGTCAATACTGCATCTGTACATAAAATAAAGTAAAATAAAGAGAAAAGATAAACAGTAAATTAAGTCCATGGCATGTAGCATTCCCCTGTGTATACATACAGATGGCTATGTATTCACTACTATAATTTAAAACTGGCTTTGCACATCAAGATTCAGCAAGTTCCCAGGTATGCAAAGTCTACTGGAGTTGCTTAAATCCCGTTAATGGTTTAATTTTTTTTTAGATTTTCTTTTTCTTATTTTATATAAATGTTTTCCTCTGCCACATTGGTTAATTAAGCAACCTCATAATCATTTTTGGCATTATCCTTTTCGAAGATGGCCACAGTGCTGATATTAGCATAGCAGGGGGCTAGACATGTTTGGTGCCTGTTATAAGAATTTGAACGTGTTCTTTTAGCATGCAGCCTAGTCCTTTTTTGCCCTCTCAAACGTCATAGGCTGCCATAGGGGTGGTATAAGCATAGCAAGGGGCTTGGACAAGATATGGGGGCGTAGAAAAGTTTGGTGTCTGTTATAGGAAGCTGGACATGTTCTTTTACGTTAAGACCTCATCCTTTTTTTTTGGCCTCTTATTCTTCTAATCATGCCACATGGGTGGCATCAGAATAGCGGTGGGAATTGTTTGTTGACTGCGGTGATGTGCTGAACTTGATCATTTAGGTTTAGACCTAGTCCTGTCTTGGCCTATCAATATTCAAAGACTGCAAACATGGTGGTATCAGCATGGCAGGGACTCTGCACAGCCACATCACTTCTAATGTGAAAATACCAGACTGTGTACCTTCTCATAAGCTGCTTTTTAGTTTATGTCAAATAAGACAGGGCATCAACTGATCCAAACCTGTAAATCCATTCATGAGTGCTAATTGTTTTTTATACATGTGTAGCACCCTCCCTGACTTCTATGGGCAGGAGGAGCTGACATTTCACCTCAGGGATGTGTTCTGAGCCAGTATGTGCTGAAAGCAGAATTGGGCATCAGTCTCTTTAAGGATTTTATAATGCTTTTTTCCATGAATGGCTAAACAGGGAGAGAGGGTTAGGGCTGCCGAACTCCAGACTCACTGAATGCTTTCCATATGCACAGTGCAAAGGGCCTTTAAACCGAGAATGAGGTAACACTGTGTTAGAGGTCCATATCTGGTTGGCAGACATGTTTGAGATCTCCCCTGGGTGAGACACCAGACTCCCTTCAAGGTCCAAGGCCATTATGGCTTCTCCGGTTCCACCAGCAGACACAGTTCCTCCCTGGCTCTCCTTCCCAGGAATAAATCCTGACCTGACTGGGTCCACACCTGACCACCTTTAGGCTTCAGGCCTGGTCAGACAGCGCCCTCATAACGCACTTCCCCCAGGCAGGAGTCTGAGGGGGAAAGAGACCCTCACATGGTAAGGCCCAGATATTTAAGTCCTCTCTTATCATGCACCACTGGCCATGAAACTTCTAGTGGTTGGCTGGAGAGACATAGATATCCATAACATCCCACTATTGGTTGCTCTGCTCTGTGGCAAAGTTACACCCAGCAGCAGGCAGATGCAATCAATAACAGAATCCTAAGGGAAAGCCGTATGAGCACAGACTATGTAATCTGCTAGAGTGGATCCAGTGCTAGAAAACTAAATTTAAGAAGTCACCCCACTTAGGGCAAGGTGGCTACACATGTTAAATTGATTAATAAAAGATTGTAAGTGGAACTCCAGAAGTTAAACTGCCTTTAAGTTTTAAAAAAACAGCCTTTGCTGCTATACTTGCCAGCAATCAAAAGCTCCCCATACCAGTACTTTACTTCCCCGCTACACGCCACCAGTCTTCAAAGGTAAGTTATGGTCATCATTCAACCAAAATTTCTGTGATACTGGGCTGTCATGGAACCCTTCCTCGGGGGACATCATAAGGCAGCCTGGGCTCCTAATAATCCTGGACCAAGCACTGTGAGGGATTTTTGATTTAGGTGAAAGGACCACCCACAACTGCCTCTGAAGAAGGAGGAGGAGGTGACACCATCAGATCTACCTAAAGTCTGCAGTAACAGAGTATTAAAAAATCTTTGGGGCTGAGCGAGGACATGGGGATTTTTTTTTTGGGGGGGGCAGCTACACTTAAATGGTAGACAAAATCAAACACAGCGCCAGCAGATTTTGGTTCAAGAGAGTATTAATGAATGATGTTCAGGAGTGCAGGGCAATAACGGAGCGGCTCTCACCAGGTTCAGAACAACCTCAGCACTGCAAGACAAGACACAGAGAGCGCCTCCATCGCATAAAAACTTTTTAATAAACGAATAAAAAATGGTATAAAGGTACTCACAAAGGACGAATAAAAACAGGCATAAAAGGGTCAGAACGAAAGGTGCATAACCACCGGCTGTTCGTCTTCCCTGGTAGGTACGTGGTTTACGCGTTTCAGAGGTCAAGCCTCCTTCCTCAGAACCAATTGGGGGTGTTCCAGTGGGGGTGTTCCAGTGGAACACCCCCAATTGGTTCTGAGGAAGGAGGCTTGACCTCTGAAATGCGTAAACCACTTCCCTACCAGGGAAGACGAACAGCCGGTGGATATGCACCTTTCGTTCTGAGCCTTTTATGCCTGTTTTTATTCGTCCTTTGTGAGTACCTTTATACCATTTTTAGTATAGTTTATTTTAGTTTAGTTTATTTAAAAGTTTTTATGTGATGGAGGCGCTCTCTGTGTCTTGTCTTACATTTAAATGGTGTCTTACATGTAATGAATGGATGTTACTAAAGTTTTAAATGCCAGTGCTAGGATTTTAACCTCATAGGAGCCCATTGAACTGGCTGTAGCTAGTCAAAATTGTATCTCTGTATGCAAGAGGGTTTATTTCCATAGTCCAACAAAAATGTACAAGAATCCGTATTACACCTTTAACATGTGATTTTCTGCTCCACTAGAATATACTTCATAGGAAAATTATTAAGTGCTGTTGTTTACGTTGTAGCTTTCTCTCATCTGTGAATATTGGTAAAAAAAAATTAATTACTGAATACAACTTTATTTACAAGAGTGAGGTATACCGGTCTGATTGGATATCTCCCCTTCTGAACATGGGACACAGTCATAGCAGCAAGAGTGGATTGAAGATCCTGGCTTTTTTCTGCTTCCAGGCAAACAAACCTCTGAGCACCGAGATTCCAGCTGCTAAAAAGAAGTAAAAAAAAAAAAAGGATTGGTACGAACAATAAACCATTTTACTTATGTAAAATAACATTCAAAACACAATAAGAGTGTGGCCAACTGTTACTGTATATCCTCCACCATTGCTATAGAGCACAATGTGAGTGCAAGTCATTCACAAAACATTTCTTAACAACTCTAATATTGGCACATAGATGACTCATAGTTCAATGTTCATGGTATAGGGAGGGATTTCACAGACTCTCACATATCAGCCACTGCATTGGGAAAAGTCATACCATCTCCAGCTCTAGCTCTCTAAAAACCATTATTGAGCAATAGAGAATAGAAAAATGATCATCGGCTTTGTGGATATAGAGCCCTGCTCATATTTGTATCCCTATTTAATAAAGGATTTTAACTGCTGTAGGTGCTCTAGAACTTGCTCTTCAATGGGACAAACTGCTTGATCAATACAGCAAGGACCCAAATATGACTGTGAGATGGGCTTGTCTAAGACAGTTTCTGGCCTGGCTTTCTCAATTGAAGGAGGAAGGCAGGAAATATTGCAGCATCTGGAGAGAAACATGGAAAACTGATGGCAAAAAGACCAAGTGGTCCACCGAGTCTGGCCTTTTATATCTTCGTCTGAGGATAGACCTATGCTTAAAGGAGAACTATGGGGTTAGGGCTTTTCCCCATAGTTCTCCTTAGGGTAACGGGAGGACAGAAACTAGCGTCCTCCCATCACCCTAAGCTCAGTATACCGCTAGCTCAGTATACCGTGAGCTATTTTTAGGGTTTACATACATTGTAAATTATTTTACAAGTAGTTCTCCATGGAGGACCCCTATAGACTCTATTACATGAGTATGAGAAAGAAAAGATTCCTACAAATGTTTTATTTTTAATTTGTATTATACTTACATGTGATGGGCTGATAAGGCTAATATATGGCTAATATGTGGTTCTCCTCACCTTATTATCAGCTTCATTCCATGTTATTTTAGCAGAGTTGATTTGAAGTTGGTCTCCCTCTGTAGCCCATGGTGTGTACATACCAACATGAGCGGTGATTATTTTAAATTTGCTAGTCTTTACCCAATTTATTATTCTGTAGTGGAAGGGAAATTCACCATTTTCATCAAAAAAGGTCTTTCGATCTACATTCTTGAATGGATTTTTTATTTCTTTTAAATATTTATACAACTGGAGGGAAAAAAAAGAAAGCCTCAAATAAGTTAAAGATGAAGTTTAATTGTTTTTTTTATTTTACCTTCCCTGGTTCTCCTTCCTCCCTTCATCAACACTCTAATCTCATTTTTTAATATAGTCTTTGCATTTTTAGTAAATACTGTATAATATATTTACAAATGTCAGTGCTTCAATGTGCAATGCAGGCAGACCATTGATAATGCAAGGGTGCTGTACATAGCTTCCCAAAAAACATCTCTGCACCCTGCCTCAGTACTCCCACTCCAGAGACTTCAGTACTCCCTCTCAAGAGCCCTCAGTCCTGAAGCAAGAAGTGAGCTGGCTCTGGTGGGAAGGTATGCAAATACTCCAATGGCTTGATGGGTCATGTTTGGAGGATCAGGAGTTTCTGGGCAGATTGAGTTTGCATGCAGACTACCCTAGGTAACACCCACCTGTGATCCTAAGCCTCTATGCTGGAAAAACTGAAATACAGTGAATGTGAGGGGAAGGTCAGGGACAGTCAGACTGGGAAGGAAAGGGCTAGAATATGCTGGGCATCCTCCAGTCCAAAAAAGAGGCGGGCTCTATCTGACTTTTCTAAAGCTTCTAATGTACATTATGAGAAGCTCACAGTGTGCTTGGAGATCAAAGTAAGCAATTTCAGTCCGGGAGACGAGACGGTACAACTGTTCAAGACTGAAGGGAAAGCCGGAGTTTAGATTTCATGTTTGCATAATCATTAAAGATATTTATTATGTATCTTATTTGTGTAAAATGTTGCTAAATAGATTTTATATCAGTTTTTGAAAAGTAGGTAAGATTGTAAATAGATATATATAAGTGCATCGTACTGGACAGGTGTTGGTCTAGATTTCCATGTTTCGTTGAATCTCTAGCATGATGGAGTTTCAGACAGTTTCTCATTTACACCCACAGTTAGAGTGACACGAAACTCAGGAGTTTTCTGAATGGTTTATATGTGTAGAGAAGACTTACAAGCCACTGTGTTTTACTTTGCAATTGCTGTGGCAGCATTTGAAGGATGGAATGGTTGCATGAGAACTACTGCAGTGTTTTTAATTGTATACGGCAATTAGCAAAAACTTTTGAAGTTTAAAATCCATTCATTCATTTATTTATTGCCTGAAGAGGTCATTTCTGCTGGGACCACATTTTGGAGCTGGTTATTTGTTTTATAAAGAAGATACTATCCCTGTGATCCGCTCATTACTGAGTAGAAACAGGCAAAGTGTCAACTACCCTGAGGCTGTATTTGAGTGTGAAAAGCCGCCATTATTCTGACAGTTTGGGAAGTGCTGGCTTGTCTTCTTTGTTTTTAAAACTATATTTTTACAATCTCCTCTTTCTTTCATCTTATTAATTATATCCTCAACTATTAGTTTTTATTTGTCATCTCTATTATCTTACTAACATTGAGCTGCATGAACTCGTTTTCCCCACATATTAAATAAAACAATCAATAAAACATCCACTCCGCTTATTGAATATAACAAATATATAAAACATCTACCCCACTTATTGAATAAAAATTTAATAAAACATCCGCCCCACTTATTGAATAGAACATACATATTCCGTACTAACAAATGGCTGCATGGACTAATCTGTCCCACTAATTAAACATAACATATATTCTTATAGCCAATCTCAACTCTTAGCAATCCCTTTTGAAGCAGTTCAAGTAAAAACACACATTGTGACCTCCTGGTGCCAAAGTGTTTGCTTCATAAATCCAGTTAGATTCTTTTTGGCTTAAACCTCTCTTCAGATTACTCCCTCTCCATTGCTTTCATAATTTCTCTAAACCCCAGAACTGCAATACATCTGGATTTTTACTATAATGTTTTAAAAAATGTTTAGATACATTGTGACTTTTAAAACCTCTTTTAATATGGTAAACATGTTCCCTTAATTTCTCAGGTGGTCCTACCTATGTACTGTAATCCACAGGGGTACTGTAACATGTAGACCTCCCCTGTGGAATTGCATGAAATACAATTTTTAATTCTATTGTTTTTCTCTGTGTTTCTTATGTTAAAGTGATATTAAAGTCAAAAGGATTTTAAGCTATTTCAAATGCTGATGAAAATACTTACAATGGATGCTGCTCATTGATGCTTAAAAGTTTTAGTTTCCTGCAGAATCAGCTGGTCTTCTGAGCTCTGGTTCTGACTTCCTGTTTAATTCTAGGCTCACACCCAGGCGATTGCACTTGTGAGCTGTTTTTGCACATTTTTGTTTGGGCGATTCTGCGTTGAAAACCATGCAGTTCTCAAGCAGAGTGCTATGCAGTCACCCATGTGTGTGCTAGTAAGCTTTGTGTTTCCCCACAACCACACAGACACAGCAAATCAAGCTACTCCCCTCCCCCTGGCCCCCTCTCCGCCCTTCTCCAAGCTAGTGGATGAACAGTTCCTGGAGTCTGCGCTGTCCCTTGCAATCTTGTACTGGACAGGAAGTTCAGGGAAGCCGATCTGCGAGAGTTGGAAGCAGCTATTCAGAAACATGATGATTGTAAGTATTTGATCAAAAATATAAAGTTTGTAAAGTAATGTAATTATTGATAAATCGGAGATACTAAATGTTAACTGGCAGGCAACAAGGTTTGCGACGATACGCTCTAGCTTTAGGTTTAAAGGTGCGGTAAAAGCTATAACTTACCCAGGTAGATTACATCTCAGTTGGGGGACATATTTAAAGCAAAATTTCCATCATTACTCTGCTCCATTGAGTCTGATCTTCAGTAGAGGGCAAAAGAGTCTTATATGTGGTTTGGTAGGAATTCTTTATTAAAGATGGTGACCCTTCCCCGATTACTTTATCTCCTTAAGACATCACCAGTGGAAATCCCACTGAAAAAGTTCTGTTAGATTTATCTGGCTGGTAAGAAACCAAGGTTGAAACACAGTCTTCTTTCATATGCAAATTTACATGGGGGCATTGGGCTCCCAGATCCATTTAAATATTATAGCTAGCTAAGTGAACAGATCAGCTAGCTTGCTAGACCGGTGTAAACATTCGAGTTCTAAATTATCAGTCTCATTGGAGCAAGAGTCTATAGAGATGTATCTGCCAGTGATACCATGGTTACCAAGATCACGTCTTAAATCATGTTGAAATCATCCACTGATAGGTCTCACTCTAGGAGCAGTGCGATCATCACCACTTATAACGACTTCTAAGACAAGGTTCCCTGTACCATGACCCCGGTGTTAGGTAACCCTATGTTCTTACCAGGTTTACAGGATAAACCATTATTAAATATCAGAGATCAAAGGAAATTTCGATTCTATGAATTTGTGCCCCAAGAAGGAGTACCATCGATATCAGAGCTTTCCGAGAACTACTCGCCTTATGTAGATGGCAGATAGTCCAATTGTCTAGTTTATTGACAGAAGATCTGATGGGAGCTCATTGCTTAGTCAATGCAGAAAGGCGATAACACCACCAATTCAACTCTCTTAAATTGCTGAAATTAGAAATATGGAGGAACTTACAGCATCTCTATATCATAGAGAAATTTAATTCAGAGATATCTGGTTGAATTGGAAGTGATTCACCCATTCTCAAAAATATTGTATCAAGTCTACCTATTACTATAGATATTTTATTTATTACAGGTATTTATATAGTGCTGACAATTTTACCCAGCGCTTTACATAGTTGCACATTCACATCAGTCCCTAGCCTCAAAGAGCTTACAATCTAAGGTCCCCATCTCACATGCATACATAGAGGGCCAACTTAGAGAGGAGCCAATTAACCTTCCAGCATGTCTTTGGAGCGCGGGAGGAAACTGGAGTACCCAGTGGAAACCCATGCAAGCACAGGGAGAACATGCAAACTCCTTGCAGATAGTGGCCTGGCTTCGAACCAGGGACCCCCAGTGCTGCAAGGCAGAAGCGCTAACCACTCCGCCACTGTGCTGCCCTTTAACAAGATTATGGAGGCAGTTAAAAAATCGGGGTCTTACACTGGAATGTTTGCCTTTTTTTAAATGTGTTTTATTTTTTTCTCTGCTTGTTTTGTTTGATTTGGGGGAGGGGGTTGGGATAAGAAAAGATTATATTGGGTAATGATAGAATCATGTTATAGTTAGGAATAGACATGTGCACTGCCAAAAAATTTGTTTAGATTCGTTTTAAATTCGGATTTGTGTTATTTCGTTTTTCGGGATTCGTGTGTGAAAGTCAATTCGGAATTCGGATTCGGACGAAATTCGTTAGCGGTAGTTCGTTCGCACGTTCGTTTCGTTTTCGTTTCTTATTCGTTTCGTTCATTCGTTCGTTCGTTTGCAGCAAAGTGACATTTGAGGGGGGAAATGTTTTTCTTCAACGAAACGAATAAGAACCGAAAACGAAACGAACGTTCGAACGAACTACCGCTACCGAATTTCGGAAACGGAAATTCGGATTCGTTTGCATTCGTTAGAACTGTAATTCGGAATTCGGAATACATCCGAATGTCCGAATTTCCGAAAATCCGTCCGAATTTCGATTCGGAACGAAACGAATCGCACATGTCTAGTTAGGAATAATGAATGTATTAGCTAGATGGAAATAACTGAAAACAGTTGTATTTATACATAAGAGGAAACAGAACTGTGAATGTTACCATGTATTAGTCAAAGAAAAAATTATAAATAAGGAATTTTTTTTTTTTAAAGTGTATTTGCTGCTTGTTAAAATATGTAAATATCCAATGTCTATAGTCTGGTCATAATCTCAGATCACTAGTACTTTTAAACAGTTTAAACTTTATGTTTATATACAACAATGAAGCCTAAAAATCAGCCACTGACTGATGGACTATATTGTTTTACCTGCTGGAATCTGTTATTAATAAAGCTGTGATTAAACTTGTTGAATAAATTAATCGCTTCAGCCATAGCTTCCACTGCAAGATATGCTCGTAGAGATTCTCCGTAGATCATACTTTCCATCATTATTGGAAGAAGAAATCCTACTGAATAAGATTGGTCAATAATAGTAGCATTTTGGAAATGAACATTTTTCCCATCTTGAGATGATGTCATATTGTAAAATGTAACGACCAGAGATTTTATCACGGCATTAATTTGTGAATGTCTTGACAATAGTTGGTCATCAAACAGACTATTATCTCTCAGAATTGGAGGATTAACTGGTTCTAAAATTAATATTGTTATAAACCTAAAGTAAAAAGATACTGAATGGATGTCAGTTGAAGACCAGGCTGGGGGAAGGATAAGCATAACATTTTTTTTGTATGTAGTGTATTCAAATAGATAATAAAAGGAATTTCTTGTGACGGAACCACAAAGTATTAAAACCTTGCAATGTGCATTATTAATTGTGTCTTTCCACTGATCAATTGCAGCAGAATTCACAGTCATTCTTTTTTCAAAAGCCACACAAATCTCCCGGGAAGTCAAATATCTCTTCACAATTTCTGCCTCCTTCTCTCCAGTATCATTGTCTGAAAAAAGTATTCCAACCCAGTTCCATCCAAAATGTTTCACTAGTTTGGTGATTGCTAAATAATGGACATAATCATTCTGAACGGTCCTGAAAACATGCGGGTAAAGCCGCCTGTCACTCAATGAGTCATCCGTGCTTCCATAGCTGACCTAAAAAGAAAAAGAACAACTATAATGTTATTATATTTTCAGATTACGCTTAGATCAAGCTGACAATTACATTATTATTAGAGGTTGTAGCGTGCCAAAATTTTAGCCACATCGGGAGTGGGGTGATTTTTTATGTTTATGTTAAAATATTATTTTTTTCTGGAATACTGCTTAAAACTTCCAAACAATGACATATTTTCTGAAAAGAGAGGTCCTGTAGAATAAAGAAATGCTAGTTGCAATTTTTCATGTTGCACAATATTTACGCAAATGTCTATGAAATTAATGTTTTGAGGAAAAAATACACAATACAAGCCCGCTATGTGATAGCACAGAGGAAGTGACAGGTCTATATGTAGCCATCAGGGGACTTTTAGACCCATAATTACACCCGTGGACCCAAAAGAAGCTGATGGAGCCTGGACTACACCATCATCTCCTCTGGCCACAATGGTCAGCGGAATGACAGCCTGAAAATCCTAATAAATTGTGGGCTCATTCACCAAAGGGATTGGTGAATGAACCAATGCATTAAAAGATTTAAAAGGTCTTATTTTCATTGAAAGCAAGAAATCCTGGGCCTGGCTTCCTAAAAGGCTGGGAGGAGGAATTAATATTGTAAACAAATGTAATAAATATGGTGACAGTGCTGGGCCTGTTCACGGTAAAATAAGGGTTAAAGGGCACCAAGGACTCTGAGCTAGAAAGGTTAAGGGATTTCGGGAGGCAGATTACATTACAGAGAAGAGGCTTGCTTTGCAGTTCTTTCTGGGTTTTTCCGAGTTCTGCTATAGGTTAGTCAGGTGGCTGGAGATGGCTTTATTAAGGATGGCTGGAGCAGAGTTCAGGGGAGAGCCAGTGAGCCTGAGGAAAAGCTAGTGGGGCTGAGAGAGAGTCAGTGAGGCTGAGGCAGCCAGTGTGAGTGCAGGTCAGATTTATAGTGAGGGTTAGTCTGTGGAGGAACAGACAAAGGACCAGTGGGTCAAAACAGCCAGACACTGAAAGTGGAAGCCAGGAGGCTGAATCTGTGTTTGTTTTTCAAGTAACACATGAATGTTAATTTGGAAAACCCCTGCAAGGGAAGCCAATGTGGACTTTTGATCTTTTGTTTCAAAAAAGAAGATATTTGTGAGTGGACTGCGTCCCTAATGCACTACCTTGAGCTAATTTTCCCACCATGCAGATCCAACGGATGTCATACTTAATGAAACTAGTTAAGCTTCAGAAGATCTCAGTGCTGAAGTCAGCAAAAATTAGGAAAGTAGAACTTCAGAATTGCCTGGCAGATGGCTATCTTTTGACCGAACACAGAGGTGTAGGAAGTGAATGTTGTACCTTCATAAGTGATGAACAAAATAACATCCATAAACATTTGGATAAAGTAAGGGAACACCAAAAGAAGGCCAGATACTTGGAAACTGAAGGTTGGAATGCCTTTAAGGAAATGGGAAGTGGCATTAAAGTGACATCAAACCCTCAGATTTTTTAACATAAAACAATACTGTAATGTGTGCCTTACTGTAATCCATGGTTGTTTCCCTTCTCTTTGCTGCTCTTCCTTTTAAATCTGTATCTCTTCTCATGCTGGGCAGAACTTCTGTTTTGCAGCAGACTGCCTTGTCTCAGGAATGGATACATGGTGTCTGTGTATAGGTTTGTATAGGTTTGTAACCTGAGCCAGCACTACAGGAAGAGGCCTTGAGCTGCAAAGGGAAGTTCTCCCCAAGCATGAGAAGACATGAGGATTTAAAAGGAAGAGCAGCAAAGAGAAGGGAAACAACTATGGATTACAGTAAGGTACACATTACAGTATTGGTTTTTGTTAAAAAATCTGAGGGTTTAATGTCACTTTAAGTTGTGAAAAGCATTGGCTCGTAGTTGTCGTCCGTTTTTAAAAAATGTGGCATAGTTATTTTATTTAACTTATTGCTGCTCTTATCCCTATATTTTCCTTGTCACTTTTCCTGCTGCAGTATACATTTTATATCTAAGAAAACAAGACCCTCAGGTTATGATGGTCATTATGATACAGGGTTAGCCTAGTATGTATCTTAGCAATCATCCAAATGGTTGCTCTCTAAGGACTGTGACAGTATACTGCAATATATTTACATATGCCTGAAGTACAGTGGCCTAGTAGATTCAGTATAGATACTGTGCTCAGTTGCATGGGGGAAAAATTAGCTTTTGCCTACACTGAAGTGCTGCCATTTTATGTTCAACCTTTTATATTAATATATTATATGATCATTTTATATAATATGTATATGAAGCTGACATGGGCCAAGTTAAAAGATATTGCAAGAACACTTGGAACAGCATGCCAAACCGGTGTATGTGTGGATGTGAAAGAAACAGCATTCCAACACTTAACTGACTTTCCTGTTATACTTTAATGGCGTATTAAGCACATCTTGGCATGTGTGTCCATTCTCTTGCAGTTGCAATATTGATATCATAATCTGGGTCGACCAACCAATGTTATGTTGAAAGAAATGTATTAGTCTTTATGAGAAAATTCACCCAATGCTGGGTTTTCATGTGATAGAGCCCGGTAAAAGCAGTACAAGCTCTAATACAGAATTATCTATTCTGCAGCCAGGCTTGAAAAATAAATGATACATATAATATTATAATGTAATGCAATTGACTATTGCAACTCCCTCCTCATTGGCCTACCTCTACACAGGCTATCCCCCCTTCAGACTATCATGAATGCACTGTAGGGCCCTCCTTACCATCTTGTCTTGAATTGTATTGTGACTGTAATGTCTTCCTTATATAGTAAAGTGCTGCGCAAACTACTGGCGCTATATAAATCCTGTATAATAATAATAATAATATAGATAGCATTAACCTATGCAATATGAAATGTATATTGCATCGTTCTACTCTCACCTAGAAATTCTGTCATGTGTCTGTTTGCCACATCAACTTTCATCTTGATTGAAAATGAATGTTTATTTGTCAACTAGCATCTAGATCGATAATGAAGACTTGGCAACATGTACTTTGATCTGTAATGTTTGTCTATCACATCAACTTGTACTTTGATATCAAATTGTTTTATTTGCTTTGTCATCTACTCCTTGAAAATCTGTATAAATGTACCAACTAAAACTCATTCAAATCAGTACAGAATCAGCATTCAACGAAGTCTGTGATCTGTTACCACATAAGAATTTCACCACCAGATCATTTATATAACAGGCACCATAGACATTAACACTGTAGATGGGAGAATCTTATCTTTTTGAATTAATGTTTGTGCTGCAGTGCCTTTTTGCTGACAACATGCTTAAGATCTGGACAGGAGGTGAACATAGAGTGCTTTGGTCTGGGTCCCTCACACTACCCCAGTACAGTGCTCCGATCTACAGAACTTCTCAAGCTGTGTAAGCCCCGTTGGTTGCAGAACTGTCAAAGTGGACTATGGAATAGAGTAACAGAGGTGAGCATGGAAATAAAAACATTTGACAGTGGTTTAGAAAGCTGTAATTGGCAATATGTCTACTATATAGCAGCATTGTCACCCTAGGAAAGAAGATAGGTTAGGACTCCCTGACCTCTACTCATCTTCAAAACATGGTGGTGGTGGTGGTGGATCTGTAGTCCTGTAGTAGATAACTTAAGACCAAACTATCTAAAAGATCAAATAAGAGAAGTTGATTGTTAGGATTTGCACATGCTCTTACTTTCAAAGACTGTTATGTGTTTGTAGAATGTGTCTTGAGGGGGGGTTCTGTAGTCCATAAAGATAACTGTTAAACTAAAAGACCAAACTATTTAAAAGGTCAAATAAAAGAAGTTGATTGTTAGGAATTACATATGCTTTAACTTTTAAAGGCTGTGATGTGTTTATAGAATGTATCTTGCTAACTCTGTTGACTTAGATTAATATTACAAAAATAAAAGTAGTTTTCACTGACCTGTGTGTATCTGTACAGTCCGAGGATTTGGGCAATTGGGATTGTTGTGGCTGAAAATTGATCTCCAATAACACCGGCCAGCTTGCCGTGCTCTGTACAGGAATAATTAGGAATTGTCTTCTCCGGCCCAGATAAGATCTTTAGAACACTCTGTACAGCTTTCCTGGGTTCCAGCCATGAATCATATAGGTGGAAGCCTAGAGTGATGTTCGGTAAGATGTCTGGATCCTGATTAATATTTTCAATTGCAAAAAGGAAAGCTAGGAGACTTATAAGAGGCCGAGTGGATGATCTACAAAATGTTTTTTGATTGTGAAAAAAGTTAACAATTCCTATAGACATGTAACACATTTTTTAAATATTTGCACATGCGATCAACGTAATATAAAGTACAGATAGAAAGATGTCTGGGCAATGCTTCTTCAGGCATATATGAACAGCAAAAGGAATGTCGAGGTTCAGTTAGTCTATGTTTTACATGGCAGGTAAAATGTCCCACCACTAGATGTTTAAAGCAATCACTTTGTATACATAGTTACATAGTATTTGAGGTTGAATAAAGACATTAGTCCATCAAGTCCAACCTATTAGGATCTCATTCTAGGAGTACCCGTACCCCTGTATATTACGGTCCCTTAAGAAATCGTCCAAAAGTTTCTTGAACAATTCCACATTATTTGCTGAAATCACCGCCTGTGGCAGTGAGTTCCAGACCCTAACTGATCTTACTGTGAAGAACCCCTTTCGCCCCTTGTGCTGGAATTTTTTTTCCACCAATTTTAGGTGATGGCCTCTAGTTTTTGTAACGGAGTTAATTTTAAACAGTTTATCGCTAATGTTGCTACCACCATTAAACATTTTGTACATGGAAATCATATCCCCCCTTAATCTCCTCACCTCTAATGTGAACATGTTTAAATTTAGTAGCCTCGTCTCGTAGCTCTGGTCCTCCATACCCCTAATTAGTTTGGTTGACCTTCGCTGGACTTTTTCCAACTCAAGATCCAAAACACTTACTTGTGAACTGTTTCAGTATATTTTGCTCAGGACTGGTGGGTTGTGTATGCATAGACCAAACGTTTCTTGTTTAGAGTAGGGTAGGAGCAAAACACATGTCAGTTTGTGTCCTGTTGAAGAGATTTGCCTTCACTTCCTGTCCTGGAGAAGTAACAGAAAGTGACAGAATATCCCCCCAAAGTGAGGTAAATTCCCCTAATCTCAAAACAGATGTCCTCAATGGAAGATTATCCCTCTTGCTCTGATGACAAATGTACATTTTGGGATTTCCCATCACTTTCTGTCTCATGCTATGGAAACACAGCTCTCAATAGGTATATTTTTTGGGGAGATTGAAGTAATCTCATCCTTGTGCTAAATATATAAAGTGTGAATTGTGCAGCGCTAAAAACTAAAGTGCATAATATAAAATGTAAATATATAAATATATATAATTAAATAGTGCGGTTACGAGATATGCGGTAACTTATTTTCAGATGTAAACGCTCCTATAGGTCCCTACATGTTTCGCCCCCAGAAGGATAAAGCGCGGATCCACATTTTTTACCTTGTGCTAAATATGCATGTAGACAACATAAATGTACATGTATCTGTGCACAGGAGGGAATCACAGGTAAAGAATAAGGGGGTTATTCGCAAAGGAGATGAAGGCTATAGCCATAGCTGTGGCTAAAACTGGTAGACCATGCTCCCACAATGATCAGTGTCAATGAACAGAACAACAGCAAACCCACTAAACTTTGGCACCTGAGTACTTACTTTTTAGCACATACAGAATATGCAGTGCAACTCTGTGATGTTCAGAAGCAATTCCTTAAGTTAAATGATAGACATGATACCGATCATTTTGTGCTATGGAATGCTCATAAAGCTTTTATAAGAGACCTATCCTATATTATCCTAAAAACCTAGCTCCCAAAGGAAGACAAAAACATATGCAGCAAATTGAACACATTCTGCAGAACATTAGGGGGCAATTTAATTAACAAAAACCTCCCATCTCAATAATTTGCAACAGAATTGTTCAGGGACAGACAGGCCGTAACAATATTACTACTGTATAAATATAAACACAATTTTAAACATTGCAATGCTCTTCGTAACAAACCAGACTCTGATTTGTCCATACAACTCTAATTTCATTATCTTAACAACAAAAATGGCTCAGTTTATTCAATTTACAAACAAAGCCAAACCTGAAGCTATTGTAAATATTTTAAAAACATACTATAGCTTGTAATATAACTTTATTTTTACATTTCGTTTTATTCGGAATGGATTTATGTACGAATTTCACATTTGGACATTTGGATTCATCCGAATCTATGAATTCCAATGCAAACGAATCCAAATGGGCGTTTATTTAAAAAATGTGGTTGCGTCCGAATTGTTTTTAAAAACGAAACTATATCAAAACTACAGTAAATGTGACTGTTCTCTGGCCAATCAGATAGTTTTTTTTGGCTGTTGGGGGTTGCATTACAGGCATGATCAAGTGACTTCCTGCTGTGGATTATTCCGAAATGAAAATTTGGAATCCAATTTCAAATCCGATAATTGAAAGAAATAGAAATCTAAATAAATACGAAACAAAAATTTTTTTTGCAAGGTTACATGTCTAATATATAATTTTTCAGAATTGTGGGAATGTTGAGGTGCTACACCACCAATATAGTTCACTCAACATTGTTTGTTATCTGAACTTCAAGCCCTCATTCACACTAGAAACAGCCGGCACGTACAGCTCCATGCTGCGTGCACGGCCATTTCGGCAGCTCCCGCAAAGGACACGTGCAGCGTGTGATTAGTACGCAGCTCCTGTCCTTCTCTATGGGACTACGCGGGCGTACACCACCCTATGCTTACCCGCCTTGCACTTCTGTGCGGGTGAGCGTACTCGTACGTAGACAGGATTGATCCTGTCTGTGTCCGAGCCAAGAAACATGCACCTGCACGAACCTGGACTTGGGGTTAGCATAGGGCGGCGTATGGCCGCGTAGTCCAATAGAGAAGGACGGGGGCTGCGTACTAATCACATGCAGCACCTGTCCTTTGCGGGAGCTGCCCGATATGGCCGTGCACGCTGCATGGAGCTGTACGTGGCAGCCATTTCTAGTGTGAATTAGGGCTAATGGAGAATAGTACAATACCCTTGGGTTATCAAGGTGATGTATTTGGCCCATCTTTATACAGCAGAAAGATATATTTCATCATCATTTTTATTTCTTTTATATATACTGTGAGGATTAATTGTGGGCACTACTATGTTTGTAGGAAACGTCTGCATTATATCAGTGGTTGGTTAAAATAACAACCATAATGGAGTCTCAGAATTAATAGAATATCTCTCTGAACACTGAGTGTAAAGGCAATCCCCAAGGCATGGTCCCTTATTTAATTTATCCTTTTAAACACGTTTGAACGTCACCTGTGTGTCTAGCTGCAAGCTGCAATACTAACAAAGTAAAAAAAAACACAGTGAAAATGAATTGCCGTATTTTTCGCTCCATAAGACGCATTTTGTGTTCCCCCAAAAGGCGGGGGAAAAGTGTGTACGTCTTATGGAGCGAATCCCTAGTTTTTTTGTACATTTAGCCCTGCTAAAGCAGAGCTAAACGCACAGTGGAAGTGTGACGGACCCCGGTACTCAGGATGAGTATGTCCGCCGCTGTCTTCTTCCTTGCTGAGGAGATATTGGAACCTGAAGATCCTTAGCTCCCAGTTTCCCAAGTCACTAGCCAAGGCTCAGTGTAGGTGAAACAAACTCTGATTTATTGAGCAACGGTACAAACTTATATACAGCAAGTGATGAAATCAGAATATAATCCCATCACATCCCCCCTCCCCTCCCAGACCATCGGTCTGCTCAACACCACAGGTGTCCACCTGCTAACGAACTCCAGACGGCCATAGCAGGAGCCTGGCCAGAATGTCATTGTTCTGAGCTCCCTCAGAGAACAATGGGAGATAACGAGGGATGGTGCTGATAGTCTTTC